GGTTTTTTTAACTCAGAACAAATAGATAATATAAACCTGGCGTAATCTGTGCTTGTAGGATATTTTGACCTCCTATGGCGGTTACTACATATGCCAGTAGCACCTGATGCGATGGTTCATTGTAAGAAGACTGTATAAATGGATATTATGGATTTATTATGGATTTCTTCGAATGGAATTTACAACGTCATACATAAACAACAGAAAGAATCTATCTTCATAACTAAAGAGTTTGTAAAAAGGGGAATAATTATAGTCTTGGTTAATAATTCTCTCTCAAACTCCCCTGATAGCCATACGAATGTCCTACATGGAAATGGATATCACAATAAAACACTTATAGGTATAGAATGAGCTAGATCACTATGTTCAACTGATAGAGGATCGATAAATCCATGACTGTCAAATTGTCCATCACAATTGGTTAATCGGTTTATCCATTCCTTTCGCTTAGCATCAGATTGGATTGCTGCCAAACGACGTGGACGTTGACCTGGCATAGGTTCCACTGGATCTGGCACAATTGCTTGTGGTTCTATTGGACGTGGCCTTTCAAGATCTTCTACCGTGTTTGATTGATGATTGACTTCTAATGGATATAATAGTTGGATAGGACGACGACTTTCCATGACCGCTAACTCTTACAACCGCACCTCTGGACAATCCATCGGTTCCAGTAATGAGTTTCTTGACTTTGCCTAGCTTCCACAAACTACGTGGTTGGTGTTCATCATTGACAATGACGATATCTCCAATTGAGACGGTGTTTGAAGTTTGACTCGAGCTTGTTCTGTGACTATTACGCAATTCCAAGAGATATTCTAACTTCCACCGAGACCAAAAATGACGCAACACCATGTTCATATGAAAATGTCTCTTTCTCAAATTGCTAGGGCGCTCTGGGTTATAATCTTCATTGAAATCTGAACGTTCACTATCTGGAAGGCCTAACAAACGACGTCCATACAACAAATGAGATGGAGTTAATGGTTCCTCGCAGTCTTCGGATGACACATGAAAGGGGTCTACAATTTAGAATTGTCTCTATTTCAACTACTACGGTTAGGAGTTCATCATAGGATAACTTGGCATTTCCGATGGTTTTCTTTAAACACCTTTTTGTTGATTTAATGAGTCTTTCAAAGATGCCACCCCACCAGGGTGGTTTTTCCAAATTGAATGACCAGTCTATACGATGATTCACACAATAATGTCTTACAGGAGAGTTATCTGAGAATAATCTAAGGTATTCAGAAGCCGATACAAATGTCTTTGCATTGTCCGATATGATTTGTACTGGAAAACCGAATCGCGCCACAAATCGTTTGAAACATCTTAAGAAAGTATCTGTGGTTAAGTCCGGCATCACATCGAGATGAACAGCTCGCGTAGAACAACACGTGAACATGGCTATCCAGACTTTCGTAGAATCTCGATTGTTGTTCTTCACAAACAAAGGTCCCGCAAAATCGACACCTGTATACGAGAAAGGTGGCGATTCATTAACTCTAAATGAAGGAAGTGGAGGTGCGGTTAACACTGGATAAGGTTTTCCTTCAAACTTACGACAAATAATACATTGATGAATCAATTTTCTAACAAATTGGCGTCCTCGGATTAACCAAAACTTGGATCTTAATTCAGTCAAAGTTGACTTAACACCACCATGCATGACACGAATATGACAATCCTTAACGATCAAACTAGTTACATAATTATTAGAGTTCAGCAATATAGGGTATTTTGATGAGATGGGGGCAATTTTCAAGTTCAGAATTGTGGATTATAGGATTAACCTCCTCACTTAATTTGGTTTCACACTTCAACACATGGGTTGTGATTAAGTTTGTATTTTGATGTGGATCTATATCTGCCGTGTGTAAAGGGCCTGAGAGTACCCAACCTAACTTGGTATATATTGCTGAAGGTCCATTCTCCCCCCGTATTATACCTCCAGTTATTAGACTCCAATATTGATCTGCACCGATAAGCATGTCTATCTCTACACCAGATTCCATATTTGAACTATCTGCAAACTCAAATTCTGAGAGGTGTGGAAAATATCTCTTAGCTTGAGATATGGGTTGAGATGTCAAGGGGTCACAGATCAAAGGGAAGACAAAGGCACTTAATTGAATGTCACCACAAGAGGAGTGCATATTAACATAAACAACATCTACAGTTTTGGTTGACTCTTCTGTGGATCCAAATGTTTTAATTATAATGTATTTCTGGTCAACTGTGGGTAGTTGGAGGAATTCTCGAACTCTAGTGGAAAGATAAGTTCTTTGGCTCCCACAATCCAAAATAAGTCTAATTTTAACCTTCTTATAACTCTGATTTGGAGAAAATATAACACTTTCAGCGGTCTGAAGTAAAACAGGTGTTGTTGATTCCACATACAGCACAGTTGCACCATTTTTTGATGGATCTTGAGATAGTTATTTTGAGCCGA